TTTCAGGTGTTCCTGTCAGAAACATACGTACCTACGAGAGCTGCAAAGATCCAGATCACAGCCAGTTTTTCCATGTTTCCAGAGGAGAAATGTTGGAAGTGATGTTCACTGGGAGTTAGCTGTGAGTGGTCTGATGTTCACAGCTGGAGTCAGACAGGTTTCTGCAGTCAGGAGGAGGAGAGCTGTTTTGTTCTCATGTGATGTTTCCTGTTAAATCCTGATGACAGCTGGTGTGTCTGCAGGAGATCCTGCATAGTTTGTGCTTCGTGCTGCTGTTGAAAGTTAAACAGCCAAACACGGAGCTTGCACAGAGGTCTTTATGGATCTGTTTTCTCTTCTCACGGCAGCCTTGCTGCTCAGAACATTTTATTTATTTACTGCAACAAACTGACACTTTGAAGAGGAACTAAAGGCAACACTCGTGCTCTGCCGGAACCTCACCGCGTGACACAGGCGGAAGTAAATAAAGGAAAGGCACTAATACCGTCACTGACCCGGGTGTGTTGTTGTGTGAGCTGAGTGTGTGAGCTGGTGTTGGGGTACTGGTGTGCTCAGCAACGATGCCTTCAGTTCAGTATCTGAGAGAGTTTATCAACGAGCGACTAACTGCTGCTGCTGAACAAATATTCTTGGAGTTTGAAAAAACGATCGTCCAGTACGAGGAAGAGATCGACCGTCAGCGCAGACTGCTGGATATCACCTGGAAACCCCAAATCAAGCTGCACAGGACAGGTGAGTGTCCCTCTGAGGGAGCATCCTGATCACAGCTCTGCGGGACGTTTCTGATTGTGAGGACTTTTTGGAGATGTGAGCTAACAAAGAGCAAACAGAGGACAGGACTGCGCTGCATTCAAACAGCAGGCGCTGAAATCAGCCTGGATTTGAGCTTTTCTCTGACCTGGATCCATCACTCAATCCTGTGAATCGTTTGAAAAACTTTTTGTTTGGCGGTGAAACGTGTGTTTGATGGTGCGTTCAGGTGCACCTTCTAAACTCAGTAATCTAGCCTGAAAAGGTTTTTCCTTGGTTTCCTTTCTTCTTCTGCAGAGCTGTAAAGAGTTCAGTGTCTTTATCTCTGTGCGTCGAGGCCCCGGCCCTTTGATATCACATAAGCAGTGTACGCCTCCGTTCGTGTCACTAGTTGAACCAAATCACATGTGTGTTAGCCGAGCGTGAAAGTACAGATAGTCAGTCGACTGACACCAATGAATAACGTGTCATGCGGTCTCTGTGCTGAGGGCTTTACTCCAGTCGCAAAAGCAGACGAGACGGACTTACAGCGACTGGCGTACTTCACACACGCGTTGCTGTAAAGTCCTGTTAATGTTTCTGTGGTTGTGACTTCTTTCTTCTGTCTCTCCAGACGTCCCACAGCAGCAGGTCTGTGAGGAGGAGGAGGAGGTTCTCCCTGAGCAGCAGCTCTGGAACCAGGAGAGGAGCTCCAGTGTGGAGCAGGAGGAACCAGAAGCTTCACAGATTAAAGAGGAAGAGGAGGAACTGTGCAGCAGTCAGCAGGGAGAGCAGCTGGGACTGAAGGAGGAGCCTGAAGTTCATAATGATCCTGTGCAGTACGAGGAAGAGATGGAGCGTCAGCGCAGACTGCTGGATATCACCTGGAAACCCCAAATCAAGCGCACAGGACAGGTGAGTGTCCCTCTGAGGGAGGATCCTGATCACAGCTCTGCGGGACGTTTCTGATTGTGAGGACTTTTTGGAGATGTGAGCTAACAAAGAGAAACAGAGGAAGGATGCACAGGACAGGTGAGTGTCCCTCTGAGGGAGGAATTTTACTCATGGGCCGTTTCTCAATACTCGTGCAGCCAGTCCAGACTTCGTAAGTTCACACGGGAGTCCGGACTTCCCGAGAGTGCGAGAAAACGGCGCGATCATTCCACAGCTGAGCAGCAGCGTACTTGATGACATCACACAGAGTTTTTACTGCATCCCTGCTGAACTGTGATTAATATTTGCAATGGAAATTACACGTGACGTAGTAGATTTCTTTAAGAAAAAAGATGTATCAAAAAGGTATTTTGAGCACTTGATCTGTTTCATAATGTCTAATAAGCTTCATGAAGGAAACACAAGCTTAATCTCTCTTAATAAAAATAGCATACATGCATGCACAGCTCACGCTGCTTATTGAGTAAAAACAAGCAGGTGGGACGTTAGAACGCTGCTATTTTATTTTTGCAGACCCCTAAAATCAACACTGGACTGCTGGGGTTTGGAAGAGAATCGATATTAAAAACCTAATTTGATCAATGCTGCAGCAGCCTTCAGCTGTTCACATGTGTCAGCATGTTGTTTCTGCTCCCGGAGGAAAGGTTTCCTTCGAATTCAAAGATTTTTAATGTTAATCAGCTGTTACTTACGTTTGTGTTTAAAGAAGAACAGCACATTTTACATGAGGGGACATGACGGCCCCGAGAGCAAATATCCATTGAAACAATGTTAAATCGACATCAGGCAGTTCTGTTGGAACAGCGTTAGTCTGATATTGAATCACTGTTGAACTCTGATGGTGGTTTTCCATCACTTTTCACTTGGTTACTATTGAAACACTAAAATCATAATTAAAAATCAACTTAATGGGCATTTCTACCAACACTAAACCAGCGCAGATTACCATCAATACCTAACCCTGCAAAAAGTACAATCGTGATCCACAAACAGGAAACCGATTATATGCTGGACGTTATCCTACAATTTGTCAAGTCCATAATAACGTCTCTGTAATATGAAGCATCTGTAATTTAAAAAATGACAGACGTCTCTGTATCAATAACAAAGTAATTTATTATTAGGGCTGTGCGATATGACCAAAATCTCATCTGTCGTCCGATAACGATATAAATCACAAAAATGTAACATTTGCTGTAAATTCTGTGAATCTCGGGCAGCTCGACTTGTGTGAAGTGTTTCCAGCTGTGTGTCATGTACCTGGATTAACCGATGCATGAAACGATACATTTTTAGACATAAGTTGTAACAGCCGCCGTTTTCTTTGTGACGTCGCTTAGCAACAACGACGGTAACAGCATCGCGTGTCCGCTTGTTTATGTTCCACATAAACCTTTCACAATAAAGCTCAAGATCCTGTTGAGACTTTTCAAAATAAACTGAATCACGTGAAAGAGCAGATTATTTACGGATGAGAAGTAAAAAGAGCCGCCAGGTGCTAAAAAATAAACCTTAGACTCAAACGTTAGAACAGGCTTTTCCCCGCAGCACGCCGTGTAATAAATAC